AGGGCATGATCACAAGGAAAATTCTCCAGGGTCTTTTGGGGTGTTGGACGCATGTCTGTTTGTTCAGAAGACCTTCTTTTGCAATTTTGGACAAAGTATATAGTGAAGGCAGCGATTACTCCAACGACCTCGTTTTCCACATGTCACGACAGTGCAAGATGGAGCTCATGACATTGTGTTTGTTGGCCCCTACGCTTCAGACAGACCTTAGGGTCAGCTCGGCGCCTTTCCTTTACATGATGGATGCCTCCCCTTACGGAGGGGGCATCTGCCGTTCTCCTCTGCCTGAAGTTGCTGGGAACGAGTTGTGGAGGCACACTGAACAGCGGGGCTACTACACAAAGCTCCAACAGGGTGCCAACGCAGTTTTGCATGAGCTAGGGATTGAGCATACAGAGTTGTTTGGGGATCCTGGTGAACAATTCAACATTGGACGCCCCTCGTCAACAGACTTTGTCCTCCCTCGTGGAGAGCTTCGAGATGCCACTGTAGCTTTCGACTGCATTGAACTGTTCGCAGGCTATGCCAACTGGAGCAAGTCGCATGCAAGAGTTGGGCTCCGTGTACACCCAGGCATTGAGCGAAGTGCCAAAGGTCGGGGCTACGGTGATGTTCAGGATAATGATACTTTCCACATGTTAGCAAAACTGGCCTCCTCGGGGGCCATTCGTGAGTGGCACGCAGCACCCCCGTGTTGGTCGTTCGGAACACTCAGGCGTCCCAGACTCCGTTCAAAGAACTTGCCGGCTGGTTTTGACATTAAACATCCCCAGACAAAGGAGCAAACATTGCTGGCTGTGCGCACGGCTTTTTTGCTTTTCCTTGCTGTTTCAAGTGGGTGTTTCATTTCATGTGAGCAGCCGGGTGGGTCGGTGATGTTTGAATTGGCAATCTTCAGACGATTGATTCAAGTTGGCTGTCAAATTACTAGGTTCTGTTTTTGCAGTTTCGGGTCTGGCTTTCAGAAGGCCAGCAAGTGGCTGCACAACAAACCCTGGTATTTGCTTCTTGAAGGGAAATGCAGTTGCGAGTTCAAAGGGCACCACTTTACAGTTGAGGGGACTTTCGCGCGATCTTCGATCAAGTTGTTCTCTTCCCGGTGCAGGCCCAACGTTGAAAGTGTTTATGGGAGAACCCCTCTGCCTGGCGAGGCTGTCAGTGCTTTCTCTGCAGGGTACCCCATTCCGCTGTGTGAGGCTATGGCATCAGGAAGTCGAAATGCACACCGTGCTGCAACTGTTGGGCCGTTGACCAAGACTTTGCCTCCTCCCGAGTTGGGGGGTGACATTGCGGGCGAGTATGCTCGTCGCCCGTGGTTTGAAGACCCAGAGTGGGTTGAGGATTTATGTGAAAGCCTCCCATATAGTGAAGTTTTCAGATTCAGGTTCCAGAAATCTGGACACATCAATGTGTTGGAGTGTAGGGTTTATAAAACCTGGTTGAAGCATTGTGCAAAAAGATATCCTAGAAGTCGTCTTTTGGCTTTATTGGATAGCCGAGTTACCATGGGAGCAGCAGCTAAAGGTCGAAGCAGCAGCCGAGCTTTGTCGCGAGTCTTGCGTTCGGGCCTTGGCTACATACTAGGTGGGTGTCTGTATCCAGGAACACTCCACTGTAGGAGCCACTGGAATCGTGCGGACGGTCCTTCACGGGATGGCCCGGTCCCCGGGCCTTCCCGACCCGAAGCCTCTTGGGTTCGAGATTTACGACGTGGTGATTTTGCTGCTTTTGACACTTTGTTGACGGCTGCCACTTGGACTAGACCCGTCGGTCGTTGGTACAGGTTACTGTTGTTGATTGCAGGTGATGTTGAGAGACACCCCGGTCCAGTTGAAACAAAAGGTCGCCCTCCACGTGGCGAGCTCAACCTTTTGGGCGGGTTTGCACAAGCGACCTCTGACCGGATGTGGCGTTGTTTGCAGGCCTTTGAAACTTGGTGCAAGGATGAAGCTTCTACTAGCTTGTCGGTCGTGCTGGCCTCTTCAGAGTCAGCAAACCTTGCATTGAAAGCGTATGGTCTTCATCTTTTTCGCAAAGGCTTGCCACGTTATTGGTTGGTGTATGCCATCACTGCTGTCCAGCAAGTCTGTCCAGAATACCGACGGGCCTTGAGTGGAGCTTGGCAAGTGGATAGAAAGTGGCAGTTGGAAGAACCTGGACAATGCAGGGCAGTGCTCAGTGCACCTGTCCTGAGAGCCATTTTGGCTGTCGCGTTGTTGTGGGGCTGGTGGACATTCGCTGGTGTTGTTGCGTTGGGGTTTGGAGGGATGCTTCATCCCAATGAATTCTTGTGCTTGTGTCGGCGTGACCTAGTGTTCCCGCAGGACACTTGGATGGAACAACACACTTTGTATGTTCACATAAAGAACCCCAAAACGGCCCGCTTCGCAAGGAGACAGCATGTCAGGATTGACGATCGGTCGATACAGCTTCTTGCGTGGTGTGTCTTCAGCCATTTACAGTTGGAGGCCAAGTTGTTCCCAGCTTCAACCGCTTCTTTCCGTCGACAGTGGAATTGCGTTTTGGACCGTCTTGAGGTCCCCAGGCGTCAGGCGGAGGGGGGCGCGACGCCCGGGACCTTGCGAGGGTCCGGAGCAACTTTTGAATATCTAGAAACAGGTGATATTTCCAGGATACAATGGCGTGGCCGGTGGGCCCAAGTGAAGACATTGGAACATTATATACAAGAGGTGGGAGCACAACTCTTCTTGTTTAACCTTTCCGAATCTTCGCGTACAAAGATTCAGTCCTTTAGCGGTCACTTGAGCTCTATTCTCACTGACCTGTTTCCTTCGGAAGTTCAATTGTTTGCAACGCAGGATGTTAAGGGTGGATAGTTGTTACAATACAGTGCAACATTGTGCAACATTGTACAACATTGTTC